GTGCGTGTGTGTGTGTGTGTGCGTGTGTGTGTTTGGAGGGTCGGGGTTGTCACACACAGATGCACGATTGGGGGTTGAAGGCGGTCTCCAAGTGCCCACTTGGCAGCTGCCAACTTAACATCATCCACAAGTGAAGATCTTATTGCAGTTCTTTATAAACGGACTTTGCACACATCAATCTCCTGCATGGACTCCTGTTGAGTTCTGCCGCCATGTGTACAGTGCGCTTCCCTCCGCGCTGAATTTAAAAGGAATGAGGGGAGCCGCTTAGATTGGCCAGGAATCAAGCAGCTGTGTTCACTCCCACAAAGAGCAAAGGCCCATTTCTAACTGCGCCCATCTAAAAAAAAAAAAAGAAAAAAAAGAATGAAAACTCCACCCATGGCGCACGCTTAGACTGCACTTTGCACTGCACTTGGGCTCAGGACGAAAATAGGGCCCTGAATGCTCTTCCATGCACAGTGCTACACTGGGGCTAAGTGGTGCCATAGCCCTATTAGATGTCTGTATAGCCCTCATTCAGCCCCCATTGCTATTTATTTCTTGATTTATTTATCTGTGTTTAAAAATATTACAATTTTAATGAAAGATTGAAGAAGCCATTCTGTTCCAATAAAATTTTGGTTGCCTTGTTTGAGCTGCAGCTGTACTCTCTATGTGTTTGTGACGAATGAGAGAGGTCTTTCAGTTATTTGCGCATTATGTTAGATTTAGTAAGTACATTTGACTATATTTGCAAAGTGCAATTGAACATCTAGATAAAAAATAGGCTAAATGCCAAAAATATTTGCATTTTCGCCCCGGAGCATTTTGGGAAAACTAATGCTGAAGGGAAATCATGTGATGGAGACATAATGACACCATAAATTACTAATAAACAATATTTACCCTTGTTCATTTTTGAACGTATTGGTAACAATGCAGGCCAAAAGCTAGAAGCAGAATTTTTTTTTTTTGACTTGCGCATGTGTGGCATTATGACTAAATGCTGTTTTTTACCATGTAGGCTATATTTTATTAATACGTTTGAATGTACCTTAAAACTACATTTGAACGGGTTTGGTAGTCAAAAATGTTTACTTTGGCACGCTTCCGTACAAGCATACTCGGTACTTGCGATGTCTACCACAGTTTTATTGAAAAAAAAAAAAAAAAACGTGGACCCCCTCAAGTATGTCCCCTCAAATCGATTTTTTCTCGACCCAAACCCCCCACAAATTGTTCATTAAACACATCAGCAACTTGGACGTCTACAGGATATTTTCTAACAATTTAAACAAAGATGCAACCGTTGATCGGCAACATCATGTCTCAAAACACACTGCCAAAATAACCAAGGTGCTTTTCAGGGAAGATAAGTAAGAGGTTTTAGCGAAGTCACTCTCCAAACTTAAACCCTATAGAGCTGACTTGGGCATTATGCAGCCCGGGGGCCACGGCCAGCCCATCTACAGTCTCTGACCAGTCATCATGAGGTCATTATAAAGTCAAAAAGAAAGAGAAAAGAACAGCCACAGAAAATGAATTGAAACAACAAAGAGACCATAACTGTCAAAATGTGGAAGGTTTTGGTCTATGTCTATGTTAACCACTACACTGCCATCAGGAACACGAATATATTTTTGATATAGCAAGTCAGGGATTCACATGCTGAGCCCATAGCAATATCGACAAGCTTCTTTTGAGCTTTGCGATCATTGTTTGTAGTTGGGAAGCTGGTTGGACATACATTCTACCTTGTCCTATTAAAATTGACATGCTTGGAGCTCGTGGCTACACAATCTGGCCGGTTATCACCACAACAGGCAACAATCAGTCTCAGCTCTACGAACAGACAACTCCAGATGAAAAAAGAATATAATTACAGAAAAAAATAAAGAAACATATCTGTTTACTGAGATGAGCTTTTTATTGTTTTATTGACCGTGACAGATGTTTGCCCATACAGTAGAATTGGAACCTACTAGTGTTCAACCCCATCCAGACCGTGTTATTAAATATTTTATGAGAATGAACCTTGACTGACGCTTATGAAGGTTTTTGCTAGCCACGTAGCATGGCTAACCGACAAATTGACCAATGCTTTCAACCTGCCAGCCGCCACAGAAGACTGCCGTAGCTATTTCGAGTGGCTGTAGAACACATGCACCGTGCACAGAGTGATCCGCAAACCCTTAAACCATCAATTTTCTAACCACACGGTTAACAGAGAGATGTGGATGAATCTATCAAGATATCCTTTCATCTATTAGGATTTTCTGGAAGTACTCTGTTCTCCCATTAGTCATACCAGCAGCTATGCCAAGCATGAGCATACATGCATGCACTTACATGTGTGCGTCTTACCCAACCTTAATACGCCCAACTAAAAGGCATAAAGAAGTTGCATGCTGCTTAAACTCACAAGCACACAGGTGACAAAAGAAAATGCACATATGATAATACCGGTAATCTATTTTTGATGTATTTGGTCAAGAAATCACATGCTGAGCTCTGGCAGTAAGGACAAGTTTTTTTGTTTGTTTATTTTTTGTTTTTTAGCTTGCCATCATTCTTTGTAATCGAAAAGCTTATGGGCAAACATTATCTAAACTGAAATTGACATGTTGGCATGTCAATTTTTCGCCAGTCATACATGCCAAAGGCAAGATCTGAGACCTGACACCTACAGAAAAAGGAAGGATATAACTATTAATTAAAAAAAAAGAAAGAAAAACAGACCTGTTCATTGAGATGAACTATTCTTTATTTTGTTTTATTTTATTTTGCACCGTTACTGGTTATGTGATGAACCTGATTCTAATGGAGAATAGTAGGATTAGAAATTACCAATGCTCAACCACATGCAGGCAAGCCCATTAATCGGTTTATTATCAAAGCACATTATCATGCATGTTTTCGTCAGCTTCCTAACATGCCTAACCAAAAAAGTGACACATGCTTGATGTCCACCTGCAGCCTCCCAGCAAGCGGCCAGAGAAGGCTGCCAGAGCTCTGCCAATATGTTAGAATGGAACAGACACACTGTGGTTTGAATGACTCTGAAACCATCAGTTCTCTAACCACACAGTAGAGCTTTCATTTCTTTTAGGATTTTCGGAAACTCTGTAATCACATTAGTCGCATCAGTGGCCACGTCTAGCCTGATCTCACGCAGACATGCACTTACATGTGCACGGCATCCAACCCCAATTTACAAAAAACAAAAGGCAAAAAAAGAAAATGTATGGTCCCTTCGTGAAATCCTCAAAAGATACACGTGCCGTGGTGCTTACCTTTCTTAGTTTCCTTCTTCACTTCACGTCACCACTCTTCTTTGTTGTTTTCTACACTCCTGTCTTCCTGTGTGGAGCAATCGCCTACAACACGCTGAGGCTCGGCTGGAATGGACTTGTTTGCAGAAACACCCCAGTGGTCAGGAGAGAAAATGAGAAAGAGAAAGAAAGAGAGGGCCAATGCATGTGAGTGCAGAAATGAAAGAAGAGAAATTTGAAACCACCGACTCTCCAGAAACAATCAACCCCCCACCCTTCCTCTACTCTGCGACCTCTATCTCTCTCACTGCTTGCCTCACTTTCTCCTCATCAGCCTCAACACCCATTTAATATTACAAGTCATTGGTCATTTGTTTCAGTTTCACTATTTTGACTTTACTTCCTTGCACTTTTCATTCCTCAATTTTCAAGGCAGTGTAAATAGGACACGGAAAAGTGTGGAGTTTTCTCAGTAGGCAAGTATCCCTTGTATGCAATAACCACCAGTAGCCGACAGTAACATCACCAACAACATTTACAACCTTAGACTAGAAAACGCTAATCATTCCAAACTTGTCCAAAGTCCATTTTGAATCGCTGTCCTGTAATGGTGGATTCCCTCATAGATTCATTACTGAAAAAATCAGTGCTGAATTTTGATTACTGCCATTTAGGGATTGGAAATATGTTGAAAAGAAGGTCCTGAGGTTCCGAGTCCTGGAGATGCTTTTTCATTTCAAAAAAGTAAAATCATCCACGATCCGCAATCATGGGAAATAGTTTCTTGTTGGGGGACATTCACCTGATATTTCGACCAAGTATGGGAGGACCTCTGCAGTGAAAAAGAGTAGAAATTCATCTCAAGTTGCTGTATTTTGCTGAGTATGCAAAATCCTGTAGCTCCTCTTTAAATACAAGTCTAAATCATGAAAATTACACAGAACTGTATCTGGGGTGTTGGGAGCGACAGACCTTTAAATTGATGGATACAAAATGTGGAACTCAATCTGCAATAATAAGAAGACAATCATCGTTATGATCACCCTTGTGTATCATCACAATAACGAGGGCCTTTGGTGCTATGCAGAGGACCTTGAACTACTTAAACCAACGTTATTTAATCTGCAAGTGTGGGGATGGCCTGAAATGGACATCAAAATCAAAGAGACCTGTTAACCCATTGTATCTAGTCACAGATGATGATGATGATTGTGCATAATTGCCAAACTATGTCCTACTCCCAGTATCTCAAAAGCTTCCCACCGATGGAAGTGGGAGATGGACACAGATTTTCCTATCGGTGTTTGATAGTTAATACAATTTATTTATATTGATCTGTACTACCTCAACTACTTTCCTCTCACATTCCAAAAACATGCATGGCAGCTTAATGGAACACTCTAAATTGTCCCTCGGTGTGAGTGTGTGTGTGCGAATGGTTGTTCGTCTCTGTGTGCCCTGCGATTGGCTGGCAACCGGTTCAGGGTGTAGCCCGCCTACTGCCCAAAAACCGCTGGGATAGGCTCCAGCACGCCCCGCGATCCTCATGAGGAGAAGCCGATTAGAAAATGGATGGCTGGACATTTTCAGTATAACAAATATTGTTCAATACATAAACTTTGACAAATAATTGCATATTTCCCCAGTGTGTGGGACAAATAAAGGTTATCTTATCTAAATAACAAAACAATGTCAAAAAAAGAGTGAAATTAAGATAAATTAAGAATTTTGGCCACAAGCTTTCGCTATGTCACCCACAATGACTGATGACATTATAAATATGGTTAAATATGCTAGCGAGTGTGCAACTCACAATTGGTACAATATAAGTATGGTACTGCAGTTATGAGGTTTGGCGACAGTGGCTGCATTTAGGTCTTGCTTGCTTCAATCCCTGAAAAGCAACTCTGACTACTGCACAGTCACAACGTAAAAGGATCCACTTAGTCACAGAGACATAGTAGTGTTTGATTGCACTTGAATCAGTGCTCTGTAGTACCGAACCAAATCGCGTACCGACTTCGGCACCACATAAAGCATGAAGTGGCCATGTCTGTATGCAGTTCTGATTTAGCAGAGCCATCCGCTTACTTGTCAGTATTACACGTGTAATATCGCATGGCTGTGTCAACCAATGTGAAATGTGCTTGTTTGTAAAATCGGGTTCATGCTTGCCATGCTTTCCGAATTATGTTTTTTTTTTCCTGATCTGGATTTTGGACATCTATTTAACTGCATTGTTGTGTTCTTTATTCTCGTAGATGTGATTCAGCACAGCCGTTCATATTTAGTTATGTGGTGACTCGTGTAGGGCATGGCTCTTATTAATTCGTGTGAATATGGTATTAAAAAAAAGTAGACTTTTTTTTTCTTAATTTGAGATTACTTTTCTTATACGAAACCTACTTTTCAAGATTTTTATTATTTTTTTGTTGGTTGGGAAATTACCAAAGAAACAAAAGTTCTCAGAAACAAGTGTCTTTTTACCTTTGTGAAAATCCTTTTTTTTTGCAGTGTGGTGATCATCATAATTCAAACAATGGATTTGTGACACATCAATTACGTGACATCATCTTCAGTTGCCGTTTTTCAGTAATGGATGTCATCAGGACATAATTGTCTCCATTTCGCAAACATTTCTCCCTGTACGCGCCACGCTCCTGTTTTTCGCCTCATCTCCTCGATGGAAGGCGCTAATGTTAAACAGATGAGCGAGAAGCGAGAACCGAGAGAGTTGCAAATGAAGAAATGAGATTGGCCCTAAATTGTCCAAAGTTGTAAGTGGTTGTTTGTCTATATGTGTCCTGCAATTGGCTGGCAACCTGTCCAGGGTGTAGGGTCTCTTGCCTGAAGTCAGCTGTAATAGGCTCAAGCACACCAGCAACCCTAATAAGGATAAACAGTCTCGAAAATGGATGGATGGATGGATGGATGAAAAACAGATGGTTTTCAATGAAAAGGGTTTCCCTTGTGTAGCTTGTAATCAGTGGTTATGTTTGTGCCTTTGATGGCTTTCAAATGATCTGTTGAATTTTTCATGTTTGTGCTCATTTTTATGCTCAGGACAACCATTTTGTGATCAGATGCAGTGGAGCCCAATGTGCATTTGTTTGCGCTGTAACTTGTATGACTGATTTACAAAATGTGTTGAAACTTTTATTTCATGGCTTGAAAATGCATCCACGTGGAGGCATATATTCATGTGTTAATGTTGATGTTGAGTGCAGTCCCAAAATAAACCATGTAAATCCACTCTATAATCAATGTGTTCCCATCATAATTTGCAAACTGGCTCTTGGCTCCCCTCTCTCTGTGCCTCTGTGGATGGCAGAAAGGCACAACTGCGCCTTGAATGTTCTTTAAACGACCCTCCCAATGTTGAAAATTCACATCCAGGGCACATTTTCATGTCAATCAGGCTGGCATTAAAACTATGGTTCGCCATGTCTCGCAATAGGCAGACACGTGATTGGATTTTGTCTTCACAAACATTAAGAATGCCTACAGATCTGCTCACATTGACTGATTAAATGCTAATGACAACATCCAAAGCCCGCTGACCAAAATTCATTGTGTTGCACGCGAGTACTTGGCCTTATGTGTAAGTGCAGAGAAGACAACTGCGTGACAAAATACATATCCTTCAGGGACAAATATCAAGTCAAATGACAAGGCTGTGCTCAGAACGGCTGGAAGCAATCTCAGTATTGAAGAGCAAAGCACACGCATGCTCGAAAATATTCGACAGTCACGTTGGCAGTATGTCGACTAGCTAACAAGGCTGTGCTCAGAACGGCTGGAAGCAATCTCAATATTGAAGAGCAAAGCACACGCATGCTCGAAATATTCAACAGTCACGTTGGCAGTATGTCAACTAGCTGGCACAAGTGCTGAGATGGACATCTACAACATCTTGCTGGAGCAGGCTTTTGTTCCATTTCAAGTCTGGCATCACAATTCTTGTGTAGAAAAACTCGACCATCAAAGCCATTGATGACTATCACCTTGTCACACTAATTCCCAAATCGATGGAGTGCTTTGAGAGGCATGTAAACACACTGCCCCCTGTATTTGACCAACATCAGATTGCTTCCCAGCCAACTTGCTCCACAGAGGACACCATGTCCTCTGCTTTCTACCTGAACCTGGCACACCTGGATGAAAAAAAAACAAAAAAAATACAGATTTGAATGATTTGCTGGTTGACTCCAGTGCAGAATTTACCACAATCAGCTTCTGGCAAAAAAAATAAAATAAAATAAAAAAATAAATAATAAAAACAGAGCCCACCCCATGTGTAACTGGCTGCTAGATTCCTTCACCAACAGACCACATTCAGACAGTGTGGGAAATACCAGCTTCAGCAGAGCTCCAGACTCATTTTTATTTTTATTTTTTTCTTACTAGGAGTACAGTGGCCCCCTAGCCTGACATTTTAGGGGCACAAGTTGAAGTTTTGGGAACACACACTGTAAATTGACATGCAAAATGTAGATTCATCACACTCATTTTCAATATATTACTGATAAGTGAGCTGAAGTGTGGAGCAGATGTTTGTCAGAAATAACGATTTTTTTAAAGAATGGTATTTTTTTTTCATCAACAAATTTACTGGTTGCACTGGCACAAGTAGATCAAAATTAAAGTTGCACTGTCTCACAGTTGCACAGCTCATCTCCATCACTTTCTCCCGTTGATCTCCACAAGGACAGGTTCCAAGACCACTGTTGTTTATGATACTAACAGGACAGCTGCATTGCATCCACTGTAAATTGGGCCAAGTACTTTGCACATTGACTAAATGAAAAGGGATGCAAACCTCAAAATTCTTCAGCAAGCCTCAAACCAGATGGTTGAAATTTACAAATGGGTCTTCCAGCATCACACGAACCTCAAACACACATCCAAGGTGCTTGTGGAATGTATAGATTAAGCTGATAGTAAAATTTTGAAATTTACTTCCCAAAGTCTTGACCTCAACACGAAATTGTTGGGTGGTTTGTGCAAGTGGGTCATTGAAAGGAAACAACCGCAACCATTCTGTACAGACGGATACTTGTGATTTCTATTCAGCCATATCTTTCCCATAACCACACCGCTTTACAATTTCTGTCAAGAAAAGTTTTGGAATGCGCA